CGTGTAAACTAAAGATCAAAACAGTTTTCTTAAAGATGAATGGAATTGTTTTTGGTCATTAACATGGCCTAATTAGTTTGGTTAAGTGAAGGGTTAGTCCAAAATCATTAATAAGGGCACAAAAATCGATAATAATTAAATAAAAAAGGAAATTTCCCTCGGAAAAAATAATGCAAATTCTAAAAAATGAGACTCTCTCTCCACCATGTATATATATATATACACACACACATACAGTCGGAGAAACGACGGGAGCGAAATCAAAGGCAAAGATAAGAAAAAAAAAATGGTGGCTGTTCAGTTGTTCAGCTGGAAGCCATTGATTCTACCTTCAAAAGCTTCTTCGAGACCAGATCAAATCCCGTCTCTTAACAGGTTCTTCTTCTTCCGGTGAAGCTGCTTCATGTTTCTTTTACTGTAAATGCAGCGATTAGAAATGGTGTTCCGATTCTTAATTTTTGAGTCGTAATGAAAGTTATGATTTTGGGTATAGGGTTTATGTTCTAATTGATTTGTAAGCTTAAGTATCTCTCGTAAATGCTTCAAATCCATGGGTTCTTCGGATTTGAGCAAATCCATAGAGCTTTCATTTACTTACTCTAAAATTCTGAATCCTCTCTATGGCCGATTACTGAAAATTGAATAGTTTCCTTTAATCAAAGCTTATTTGTTGGATTTGGTATTGATATTTTACAAGTTGTGTATCTCTGAAAATGGTAATTTGTTTTGCAGGAGATTGTGTTTACACTCTCTGCCTTTAGGTGGGATTGACTCTTTTAGATGCAGAGGTGAGAGGTTTCTGTAAATTATTAGTCTCCTGTTAACTGGGAGGTCTGTTTTTTTTCAAAGAATTTGGCAATGTTCTCAATTGTTTTGGTGGAGTTCTGTATGGTCTTTTTGTTCGTGTTCTTCCTCGATTCGGCTCATGCTTTCTCGGATATACTACAGGGACCTTCAGAGTCAAATCTCAAGGGACAGGAGGAGACACAGTGCCGTCTAACGATAACCTGGATGTATCAAATGATTTCAATCCCAACTTCCATAAGGTGAAGCCAAACCATGTCTAGTGTTATGTCTTTTATCCTTTTTTTGGATCCTGTATGGTGCAAAACCAGTCGAATGATTTGTTTGCCCCCAGAAGATTACTGATGTCTCATATACACTGTTCTTTGTTTGAACGATGAGTTGCAGTTTTTTTTGTGTGTTTATTGGTGATGTCTTCAATGTGTTTGCTTTCTTGTTTAGTTATCGAGATGAAATCTCCACATGCTTATGTTATAATCTTCTTAATCTGCAGAGTCTTCGGTATAAACTTTTCATAGGATGCATCCCACTGTATGCGGTGTTCAGAATAATGCAAAAGATATTCCAAGAGCTTCCTCGTCTAATTCAGAGCTCATCGGGGGCTGGCTTGGCTTTTGCTTGTGCATCGAACTCTCTAAATAAACCTACTCCTCTCAAGTTGGACGTGTCCCTTCCTGCTTTCCAAGATGTTAAATGGAGTATCGCAAGGTTTCTTTACCTGTTCAATGTTCAGCTTGAGAAGAACGTTGCCACGTATGTCCTAAACCCAATATTCTTTATCAAGATGCAAGTTGCGTTCCTTCTATTTCTGTGAGATAGTTGAAGAATTTTTATGTACAATTGTTACTAACTACAGAAGCAATTGGATGGTTCACTAAACGGAAACTGACCATACAAGCTAATAGTGAATATGAAATTCGTTCTGATCACTTGTCGTGGCTCTTTTAGGTTCCTTGTGGTGCTCCTGATATCATGCATATCGTTTGTTGCAATTGGAGGAATCCTATTTTTCAAATTCAGGTAACCTAGCTTTACTTTTTATTTATAGCCTTCTAAAGATGTCTGAGTGTGGTTATATGATCAGTTTTTCCTGAACCTCTATAAATGGAAGAAAAAACACATTTCTTGGTTTTAGTTTAATGAAGCAATTGCAGAAAAGATAAAGACACATCATGTATTACTATTATATGAAGACCCTTGTAAATGGATTTAAACTTTAACCTGATGAACATATTCATTTTTCCGTTGCATGATTTCTTACTTAGAAGTACAACTTCATATACACTGCTATTGCCTTCTTCTTGTGAAGGAAAGACGATACACCCTTGGAACAATGCTTCTGGGAGGCCTGGGCATGCCTTATTTCCTCTTCTACTCATCTAAAGGTTATGATTTGCGTCGTCACCGTTTCAAAGATATTATTCCAGATCGATTACAACTTACAAGCCTCGAAGTTCTTGCTACTAAAAGCCTTTATGTTTGCTGAAAACTACAGCAGAAGTCGCGTGTTGAAAAACTCATTGGATTTATCCTAGCCATTTGGGGAATATTGTTTTACTCTCGGCTTTTAAGCACAATGACAGAACAATTTCGAGTAAGTTCTTGAGATAGACA